CATTAATAGTAGTATATTACGGAATAAGGTCATTAAGTTATTGCCGGCAGAGAGACTAGCAAGTATATTGTTGTCTTGACTTTTTTTTTCGTGTCATCAGGCAGTTTTAAAAAGTCTGATCATTCAGTAGGCTCAAGTTTGCATTATTTGAAGTTGATTGAATATATTTCTTTCCTCATGCGTCAACGTTGTAGGGTGAATTCGTCGAGGGTACTGGATGCCTGCTACCTTGGACGCATCTGCAGGTAAGCTTAGTCAGATATATTATTTTGATGTTCTTGTTCGCATTTGGACACTTGAAATGAGGTTCTTGATTTTTATCTTTTCTTTGTGTGTGTGGTTTTTTTTTTTTTTTTTTTTTTTTTTTCATTTTCCAGAGAAAATTGAGGGTCTACTTCAAGTTAATAAATTATCGAAAGACACACAAGGCGCATGAGTGTGTCTTTCTCGGTGTGTTCTTTTTCTGTGTTTTCGCAATTCTGTGCTGTTCTGCTCATGTCTAAATAAAACATACATTCAATTTTAATCTGGCAGAGCACTTCGGCAAAAATATTTGCCTATTTGCCAAGTTCGGCAGTTAGGGTTGGCGGTCATGGGAGTCTGCTGTGGTGCTGAGTAGCTTATATGGTGTAGCGCTCTGTGGTGTATGCTCTTCCTCTCTCCTTGTCTTAAAGCACGATCATGTTTTTCACGTACATCACCAACTCACCCAACAATCAGCACTTGTATATACTAACCTGCTACAGTAGTTGTACCCCTTGAATAAGATTTGTTAGTCACCTAAGTAAATTGGGGTGACAAATTTAAACATGACAGGTGAATACAAAGTGCTTACTAATCTACAATTACCACCCGCCATGTGATAATTTTAGTCAATGGTAGTTAGTCAACAGTTAAACTGGTCACGTCTGGTAAGTATGGTTGATGCTTTATAGTACTGGAATCGGTGGCCCATCAAATGCTCCAAATGCATCTTTAAAAAAAATTTAATATTTTTTCACAGTTTCTTTAAATTGGGGATGATAGGTTCCGACTTCATATCACATGATTTCTACATTTTCTTGGTTCCAGACAGGCAGTACAACCTACGCGGTGGCTGTCAGCTCAAACCTAATTAATCTTGAGGCGGCCAGCTATCTGTCATTGGAGGGAAACCTCGAAGCCGCATCGCCTGCTGGGGCAGTCCTGGTTGCATTCTGCCTCTACTTCATCTTTAATTACTAGTACCATCACCAGTTTAGGCGCAGGTCTATTGCACTAGAGTACTTAATTGATCTGAAACACTCAGACGTGGAGTCACGTGCAACACATTGCTTTCAAACCTAAAAGAAATGCCAAAAAGTATTTTCTTTTTTTAATTCCTCTTTATTCAGGTTAAGGATTTTTTTATGTCGTTTGTTTACTGCTTTTTTGTTTAGTTTGTTTGACATAAGGCAGGATGGCTGATTCTGAGAGTTACAGAAGGTCAGTGATATTGCTTTATAGTCACATTTTTGTAATTTCCAAAATCACAGGTTTTTGCTTTGTGCAGCATTGGCATACTTAACTTATTTCAGTCTACTTCATACTCGGTGCCTGAAAGCATTCGAGGGTTGTGGTTCCATGTTCACAGTGATTTGTGCTTGCAAGGTTTAGATAAAGATGGTTTTTGATGGCTAGCAGGATTTAGATACAAGGTGGTCAAAACCGATTTTTGCAATTCATTTGAAGTGGGTTAGATCCCTTTGGCCCTCGCGGTAGTTTGTTGCAGCTCATTAGCAGCAGGAGATAGGAGCCCTTTCTTCTTTACACATTAGAAGAGCAAATCCCGGAGTCTGCTTTCCTCTACTCCAGCATTCATTCCACTACTGTGGATAGGACGGGCATTGTGTACTGCTGTCCTTGAGTTGCAACGCACTAGTCATTGCTAGTCGTGTCTTGGTTTGTATTGCTGTTTGCAATATGTGTGATGCAGAATCTATGTTATATCACAGTGCGTTCATTTTAATTATGGTTTGTACAAGACTCAGTCATTTGAGTTCACCCCGGTGAAGCTTCGCTATTCCAAGCAGTGTTCCAAGCATTCACTGTTATTTTCCGGGTAGACACTGATTGTTTATGTACTTTTTTGTGATAATTTTATTGACTGTCGCGAACTAGAACCCCAAAAGTGTTGTTCCAGATGCCTTTATTGCGCTTAGTGGTTTCATCTTAGAACTTTTATGAGATGTCTAGTCATGCCACTGATTTTTATGCCATTCTGCTTGTAACAGCCACAATAAAACCATTGTCATTTACTTTCAGAACTAGGCCGTCTTCATCTATTATAAGGTCCACCCTTGAAGCATGTACTATTACACCCACAAAGAGCCATGCGCCTTTCTTTAGGGGGTAAAAGTGATTTCATCAAGTGTACATTTAACCTGTAATAAGGTGGTGAACTGGGCCTGTTGGTTGCTGTTATACATGATGGGGAAAGCAGCTCGGAAAGCGAGGACTACGAAGAACAAACACGACAGGACACCACTGTCCTGTCGTGTTTGTCCTTCGTAGTCCGGGTTTTCTGAGCTGTTTTCCTCATCGTGTACATTTAACCCCAAAATGGATCATACTTCTCTCCAAAAGAAGGTAAAAGCAGCGTCCTCAATTATGTCGTCTTACCTCTCAAAGGGGTCGAAGATCCCCCCTAAAGAAGGTAAAGGCTGACCTTGAAAGGATGCACTTTTAACACCAAAAGGAACTAAGGTTACCCTCTAAAAGGAGGCAATGTTGCACCCTAACCCAGGGGTAAGTTTGCACCCTCGTTGCAGGGGGTAACGTTACCTCAAAAAGGGGTTGCCCTGTGTGCAAGTCGGTTACCCCCTTAAGGAGGGTACTTCAGTACCCTTTTGCACTGGTCGGAGCGAAGCGCTCGTTTCCAGATCGTGCTATACTTCATCTCATCCTGCGATGGACTAAAGGCCAAAGCCACGGACCGCCCAGGCTCAATCACGTTCGACGCTAAACTATGACACGCGTAGCATTGGTTAGCTTTGGACGAATAATGCTCCGTATCCAAAAACGCGGCGTCATTTTCCTCGACACTGCAAAGAGCCAGTACGTCGTGGCTTTCTTTGCAATGTAAAATCGTTGAGTCACTCATTGCTCGATCCGAACCACTGTCCGCCCGTTCCCATCAGTGATCCGAGACGCGGGCGCCGATACGTGCATCGAAGCGAAATACCATGCAATGTCTAAGTGGCTCGTGATTGGATCTAGCGGTTCGTAGCTCCTGCCTTCAGTCCATCGTAGGAGAAAACAAAATCCATCGTAAAGTGTTTTCTTTTTTTTTTTTTTTTGCTGGCGAGGTTTAATGCTGTGGTATGTTTGTTATGGCTGTGTTAGTAAACACCGGGCTGTGGGGACAACAAGCCCGATAAAACGCCCTATTAGCGGAGAGATGTTTTGGTGGCGCTCTCCTATGGTTACCTCTCGTGGCGTCATTACCTTGCGAAAAACAAGTTCGATGGTGTTCGTAATTACCATGGTGGAAGCTTGAAATGATTGCGTTCTGATACCAGCACTGCCAACACCGTCAAAATTGAAGTTTTTAATTTACTTTTAGTTCTGTCGATGGGAAAACCTTTGCTGACGTCATTATCAGCATTCGGCCAATCGTGGAAGGCCGACTGCGGCGACCCTTTCGACCGCGCACGTCGCCAATAAACAGGCGTTTAATAGCTGTTATGATAAAGCGCCTTGCTGTCTTGAGTGCGCACAAAACAAGCACTATACTCGCGGTGGCAGGCGAAGAACGAAGTCGAAGCTTCTCCTCCAACGCGAGCTTTCTCGTTTTGAAAGCGAAATAGTGCACACGCAGTCACACGCAGCCAAAGCGCTGCAAAAAAAACAAAAAACAAAAAAAAAACAAGCGAGGGATAAAGGCATTGACTGTAAAATGCTTTAAACAGAACAAAGCCACCGAGGAAGCCGCAGTTACATGGGAAGCGTATTTTTCTATTAATTTTATGGAAAGAAAAGAAAAACAATTCTGTTCTGCGACGGGATCGTTATAAAGGCAGCTCCCACCAGTAAATATGGCTTCTATACAGCAATATTTGCTGCTACGAGTGTTTCTAGATAATTATTCCAGTATTATAAAAAAAGTAAATGTGTCGTCGACGCTTGCAGTGGCAGAGTGGGGATGCCGCCATGTTGAACACAGGGCCGCGGTTTCACGGTACAGTGTACTAGAATACGGGGTAGTGTTTGGACCGGCGCGGCTCGGCGCAATGGGGGCTTGTGAGGCTGCGCCTGTAGACAGCAATCGCGGCGCTGCAGTCGATGGGGCAGCAGAAAGTCGCTGTAATCCGCACGTGCGCGGTGCACGCGCACAACCACCCCCTTCCTGACCGTACTGCCGATGCGCCGGTGTCGACACCTATTGCGATCTACACCACACGCCTCACGCGAGCCGCTCGGGTCTCAATACTACTCCGTATTCTAGTACACTGCCATCACGGTAAGGCGACCACGGTACAGTGTTTCAGGAACGTGACGCCAGTACGAACCACGCATGCGCATTCGGACCCACGATAATGGTAGTACAATACCGGTAATACGGTAACGGTTCGGTTAGTTGAAAGTCTCTATTTTACAAGTTTGTTACAGGAAGTCTCTACGAGTCGGCCATATAAGACGTTTTTTCTTTAAAAGGTTCGAGTTAATTGACGTGGTCACTGAATCCCACAAAGCTGCATCCATACAGGGAATGGTATGTTGCAGTTAGAGTCACGTTGCAGTCTGCTGGAACTTTGAGCTTCACCCTGAAAGTACTTGTAGGTATGGCAAGGGAACTGTAGCCCTTCAGAGAGACGAAATAAAAACACCAAGCAGTCGTTTATCGTTTCAATGTTTATTTCAGCTCTGCGTAAGTGATTGTGGAAACGTAATACTGCACATCTCGATTTCAAGGATTATTTTATATTTATTGAGATTGTGGATTGTCGTTAAAGACAGGAGTTTCCAGTTTGTAGACTGGCCTATTGTCCCCCTCTCAATCCCTTCACAAAGGGCACGTTACATGTCTCGATGCAATGTTGATCTATGCATACCTATAAAAATAAAAACAGTTGATAATACAAGAAACGTTTAGCAATGTGTCATTAAACAATTTTACTTAAGCGATTCTCTTAGGAATACATGCAGTGGACCTGCAACAAGTTTATACTAGCATAGTTGTTTATTCTTTTTTTTTTAATCACTTGTGGGTGTGCTTGAAACATGCATGTGCGTATTGCGGCAAACAATTTAACACGGCATTAGAAACCGTACTTCTGTCGGATACGGATAATACTGTTCAGGCTTAAACATATAAAAGAAAGTGTTTATTCCGGCACCGAACACCTAAATGTGTCTTTATTTTTACTTCAGGCAAAGTACCAATACGTCCAAAAATCTATGCAAAATACACAACATAATATCGTTGTGTGACATTATATCGTTGTTTTAAGGCCGTTAGGCATCAAACGTTAACGTAGGCGGCGTGTTTTTGTTCGGGGACAGTTTTGAACAAAGATGTATACCATGACGGATGTGTGGTAACATCACAGACAAAATATAATTGAACGTTAATTTAGACAGCGTGAATTTAGTCTTTCTTTGGCGTATGATAACATTGTTACGCGCTGTAGATAAAAGATATATCTAGTGCAGGTATCACCTTAAGCCGGGGGTCTTTGACATGTATTTCGCACTAGTGATACACGACCGCGTGTGGGTTATATATGTTCGTCCAGATCCAAACGGGCAGGAAATGGGATAAAACTCAGGGCGCCTAACTTCTAGAATGCGAGGTTTCTCTACACGTGTTTCAGCGCACCAACATAGTCGTGTCACCGATCGCCCCTCCAAATATAGATGTAACGTCTGCTGTAGGTTTAGAGAGATTGCATTGAGAAGACAAGAAGTCAGACACGTGAACATTGACACCTTCAGATTAGTATTCCTTAAAAGGCAACTCCGGTCCCTATAGTTTCGATATTGGGATTATGACTGTTTTTAGCGCAGTCAGCGTCCCTCAATTACAAGGTGTAATTTCTTTCTCGGTATTGTGCGTAGTTTTAAAGATATCGACGTCTCAAATATTTTTTGGGGCGCGGTCGACAAAAACCGAAACTATAGCCGCTCGAGGCCCCGTCAACACTGGAAATCAGCCGCTATGTGGACTTCATGTCATCGTCGTTCTCGTCAGCGCGGTCCATGCCAACGTCCAAGCGGCACCTGCCTCTGTTGCGCTAGCCGTTTCAAGATAAAAGGTAAGCTGCTTTCGTTTTAATTCTGTAGGCGTGGTAGATATTCAGCATATGTAGCAAGAGTTAATGCGTATACCCAAAAGCTAGCGACTGGCAGGCGAGTGAACTCGTTCGGTGCCGGTGTAGGACGCCGATCTCACTACCCCTCCGCTTCGACTACGGTAGTGGTTATGGCGTACGCCAAAATCAATACCGTTGTGGTTTAGTTCGCTAAAACGGCGGTAGTAACTTTCGGCGGCAAAATACCCTGATTGTTTGTTGTTGTTTGTATGAGCGGTAGAACACGTGCGCGGCAGGCGTCGATTAACTTTGTCCGCGGAGGCCGTCGCTGTGCGTGCACCCGTCCGTACTTGTCTCTATACGCCTAAATTGTCATAGGAGCGGCATTGCTATATACGCCGCGCTGCCATTGACGTACAGTACTCGGGGGGCTCACGCCGTGCGTGTGCTTGTCCGTGCTTGTACCTAGGCTTCTCGCTTTCACGCTGGGGATCAGTCCCAAACACGAAGCTTTGGGGCTCTCCGGCGCGGGCCGCGCCATCCGAACACGCGTGTGCTGGGCTGTATATGTGTTTATTTGTTTATTTTTTCCTCGGGCGCGTAAAAAGCGAGTTTGTAAGTTACGACACTAATTTACCACATAACTTCGTCTAGGTGGTAGATCAAGTTTGTGAAAATATAAAAGAAAAAAATTTGCCGCACTCAAAAGTTAAAAAAAAAAAAAAAACTTGTGATTGGAGCTAGGTAGTGGTTGTAGTCTACATGCCCACCATTCCCCATTCACCGGAGCGTGAATGCTCCATATTCAACACTGCACTTGACAATGACTGCTTTGTTGATCTGGATAGTTTTATCATGTTTACCTTTTGAGTGCGACATGGCACTTAGAACTGCGAAGTTCATTGCTATGTTGACCTGCATGTTTTACCTTACATCTTTACTGTGGTTCGGCTGTAATCATCCTTTTCATAATTTAATGCAGGAAGTATATCGGCAACCCACAAATAGTGCGTTTTTTTTTATCTCTGCCTCCTTTCTTTGTATGGGATAAATGAAGCATTTGATTTTGAATCCCCGCATCAAGGTCGTGTGCCGTTTTCCAAACTGATCGGGCTTCTTTCTTTTTTTTTTTTTTTTTCCAGCAGACCCGTTGTTTAGTGATGACATCGAAGACGACGATAGCTGGCCACCTGCTGACGAACCTGGCAGGGAGAGTGCTTCTATCTGACACCACGATGCGCGCGAGTGCGCACCGAGTTGCTCGCTAAAACGAACCTTGGAGTCCTCACAAACAAATAAACAAAAGGCTATACCGAAGCTACTCGGGCTACAGATAAAAGCAACGGCTAAACACGCCAACCAAAAGCCTAAGTAGCGGCGGTAGCGCCTCAAGAGGGAGTTTTCGTAGATCGTTTTCGCTGTCCCGCAACGCCCTCCGCAACCCGCTACGATACCCGGAACTCTACAGTCAAGGCCATCGGCGCGCAGGCGCAGCAGCGGCTTCTTCGTTGCGGACGGCTTAGCGGAGGGGGAAACGCGGTCTACGAAACCTCCCTAATAAGTGAGTTGCCGATGGTTGTACGTGGCGGGCCGCTTTTTAGCGAGTTTTAGTAGACCGTGTTTCCCCCTCCGCTAAGCCCCTCCGCTAACCGGAACTCTACAGCCAAGGACATCGGCACGCAGGCGCAGTGGCGGTTTCTTCGTTGCGGAGGGTTAGCGGAGGGGAAAACACGGTCTACTAAAACTTGCTAGTGTGGTCTCCTTCCCTAAAGCCGGTCGTCGTCACAGCGAAGACCCGCTCCGGCTTTGGGGGCCCGCCGGTTCCTGAACAGGTGCACCGTGCATGCGACCGGGTCCCCCGGGCCGGAGAGAGGAGGGAAGTGGTTTGGCGAGTTTCGCCGCTGGGACCAGGCAGTCGGGACTGGGGAGGGAGGCAGGCCGGTAACCGGAACGTCGTTCCGCCAGCGGAAAGTTTTGTATCCCTAACCGCTGGTCATTTAGTGTCCTACTCTTACGAACGTTACACTACGACCACCCTCAGAGGGCAGCTCCGCCGTTAATTTGAGCGTTTTTATGGAAACATATTTTCGGAGAAGGTGCCCAAAATTTAGCCTATAGCAGCGGTTAAATCATTAAATATCTGTTTATATATCTTTATAATCGTTAAAATACGGTGAAACCGATACGAAACTAACTTGCCACTTGTCTGGTCCGCCATTTTAACGTGACGTCACAAGTTGTATGAACATTCGCACGTGTGCAGTTTGAGCCTGGCCCGCCTGCGTATGTCCCGCGTAGATGTAACGTCATCAGCAGATATAACGTCAAAGACAGGTGTAACGACAGTAACATCATTGGGGGTATGTAAATTCACAGGCAGTTCAGAGACGGATGTAACATCGCGGCGAAATCTAACGTCACGGAAGAATGTAATACCAATAACAGAGGTAACGTTACTAACGGAGTATATATGGTCACATTAGGCAATTGTAGTAGATCGTTTTTCTCCTCCGCTACGGTATCCCCGAAGAAAACGCCGCAGCTGCGCATGCGCGCCGCCAGCCTTCTCTGCGTAGTTCAAGGTCTTGTGGCGGATTACGGAGCGCTATCCGGGTGCTTAGCGGGCTGCGGAAACGGTCTACTACAATTCCCCATTAATATGCTACGTAAAACGGTGAGCCACGTGACCTGACGGCGCGTCATGGCATGACGTTGGTTGGCACACTTATGCAGATAAATTGAGTTGCGTCCATATATGTGCCGGTGTTTGGAAGGGCAAATTCTTTGTTCGGAGCTTTGCGGGAGTACAATCTATTGTTTCGTCACCACGTCATCTTGTCAAGTACAATGTTAAATTCGTCCCCATTTGTATAATCAGTTGATTTTATCACTGTGACCGCTCAGGAGTTCTGATTATACTCACCTTACTATCCCCGCAAGGGGTCCCATCGCTCAGGTAAAAATATCGGGCAAATGTTCCTCTTGTCCGTCCGTTGTTGTACTTCTCTTCACATTTAAATCTGCACCTTGATAGGTCTACCTCTACAAGCTGCAAAAACGGCGCTTACTGAAACATCAGTCAACAAAACTGCGTGGTGATAACGTAAAGGTGCGTGGGGATAAATAAAGCAATGTCGCCTGCGACCTCTAGTTTGCTAGATGCAATTTTTTGAGACAAACCTATCGTCCTTGTGAAATTTAGTTGCATCCACAATACACTCATATGATTTTATGCCACAAAAGCACTAAAGTCAATCTTTAATGTTATGACGATAGCGAGAAAAAAACTGAGCTAGAGAATGTGTATGGCGGTACAAGAGGGACGTAATACCAGTGAGTCGTCATGTGCGATCGCCATTGTCTCACACAGTCGATGCATGGCTCAGAAGTTCAATTTAGCGGGTAAAGCTTCAAATTATGTTGGCGGGGAACTTTTCCAGCTAAACTTAGTGTGATTCATTTCTCACCAAAACGTAATGAAAAAAAAAATTATCTACTAAATTTAGCGATAAACATTTTAAAGCTGAATGTGGTGGGAAACGCTTACTCTAAATTTAGCGGGAAAATTTTGCTTTACAACTATTCCTCATCTTATGAGTGAATTATTCGGCCACTTCCCCGGACTCTGAAAGAAATAGAGAATGATCAGTGGAGTTTGTAGTGAATGTTAGTGGACATATGAATATCCCTCTGATGTGCTTGCGTGGTGTGGTGTTGTGGAAAAACTTCAAAGACCGTTCAACCGATATTTAATTTCTTCGGGGTTTAAACTCAATGGCAGGTATACATTTGATGGTGCGAATGTATGATGCGTCGGAAAAACGCCACGGCTACTGGCACCACATCCTTTGCTGAATTTGCGAATGGCTTATTTCGCTCAAAAACTTACAAAGCATCTTTTGTTGTTGTGGTTGTTTTTGTCATAGAGGCGTTTTTGTTTGTTTTCTACTCGAATTTGTAAGGATTGTGGTACGGTACTATTCATGTGTCTGGTATGAAAGGCGCCATTCAACCAACCCCCCCCCCCCCCCCCCCCCCCCCCGAAGCCGGAAACCAAGGGAGGTAATCCTTGGTTTCCGGTTTCAGTACTTGACTCCTAAGCCAGATCAAGAAACACGGCCGCGTGAAAACGCAGAAAGACGTGATGTACGCATGATAAAAGGAGGGAGCAGGCAGCACTTCACTATGCGATGTAACATGTAGGCGGCCGTGAGTGGCGCTCCAAGCATCCTTCCAATGGAAAGCGGCTCTTTAGGTGCTCGCACGCTCTCATTGGGGGGAACGGCTGTAAATGTTTAAGAGACGTAAACACCTGCTTCTTACTAAGAAATATATATATTTTTTTTATAATTTGCTTCTGGCATAATTAATGGAGCTATACGTTCGTACACTAATATATTGTTAAAAGTGGCGGTCCGGCTGCGTTTCATTGCAAGTAGAAAAATAAAGTGGGTCATTCTGTCGGACAATATCCTTCATCAACCACAGCCTCCGAAACGTATTCAAACGCAAGTACAACATATTTTTACTGCCAGTCATTTTTATATGAGACCTCATATTTCCAAATATAGAGCAACCAGTACGAGCACATACAAAAAAGCCGTGTTTTGCAGTTCGCTGATGCCAGGGTAGGATTATGTTTAACGTTCTGCGTGCCTCTACCAGCGTCAGTAACTTGTTACATAGAATCTCAAAATGTATTCGTCTCATGTTCATAAGATTTAATTCTGCCTCGGTTTGACAGCCGAAAATTTATTTATCACAAAATTAATTAATTTTGTTCAAATTTCTAGAAATTTGTACTTATAAAATCATTACTCTAAGTATATGCAATAAATTTAGTAACTGTGATTTATTCGCGTTGTCTTATAGATGAGGCAATACATTTCACCCTTAAAGGGGAGCTCCGCCAATTTCTTGAAATACCTAATTCAAAGCATTATCTGAGTGCGGTGGCTTTCTGATTGCATAATGTTAACTCGTTCCCCCATGTTCATTCTAGTTAATTACAGTATCCACATACTGTTCACTTTCGAAATCGAAACTTCGTTCTTCCTAGTCTTTCCTTAGTTTTGCCATCTATCCAAACTTGACGTTTCCGGCAACAAGCAAAGTGCATGGCCGGCCAACAGGTAGGACCACGTCCACCTTCCTCCCGTCTATTATGCCGGGGTCACATTTGTCATACATCATACAAAATACACTCTGCAAACACGAGTCAAAGCAATAGCCGTGGTTCAAATGCCGTGTGCCCATGCTTCTCCGTGAACTCACTGGGCGCGTTCAGTGGCGGCCCCGGAGTCAAGGAGTCACTGACTCCTTCCACTGGACGGACAAAAGTCACTTCCGGTGCACGTAACTCCGGGGCTTCGGAGTCAAGCTCCGAAGCACCGAGTCCGGAGACGGTGCACGTAGAGTCAAAAGAGCTAAAGATGACGTCATTTCCTGAGTCGTGACGATTTCCGGCGCTAAAAGAGGAAAAAAATATGGCGGGATAAGTTCCGTCGGCTCTGTCGCGGGTGTGCGGTTTGCTCGCTTTTGTTAATGAAAAGTGATCAAGGTAAGACGAATAACGCGTTCGAATTTCTTTTTCAGGTAAGGCTCTTTCTGAAAATGCATGGGACCGTATTTTGTTTGGTTTAAATATGCTAATAAACAACGTAAACGTTCATTTCACGCCGTGTCTTGATCGCCGTTGCACGGAAACTCGGTGAATATCAACGATAGTCATGTCCGCGCTGAACAGAGCAAGGCAGAGTATGAACGCGAATTCGGTAGCTGGTTGGACACTCACGCAGAGCATCACCCCGATTGATGTTTTGTTTGCGTAACTAAATCGGGGTGCACGTTGGCTGAAGCTCGTTTCGGCCGACAAAACTTTGATCGCCGAGCACGGCCGAACTTTTAGTGTGTATACGAATACATTTTATAGGAAGTTTGTAACGAAGGATACAACGAACGTATGGCCGTATAAAAGTATCGCAACCGGCGGCGTAGATTCGCCGAGCTCTATATTTTGCGTGTGCTGACGACGTTTTTGTCAGTTTTTTTTTATATCAGTAACTGCCTTTGTACCGCTAAGCGAAGGGCTCAATCGCGTTGCATCGCTTCGAACAGCAGCGCTGATGTGTACAGTCACTCGCTTTTTCTTCAACCACCTTGTCAAGACTTCTTCAATACCGGCGTCAAATAAAAGCGATCGTGCTCAACATCGTCTGCTTCCAGTTTATTCGGAGACCGTCTGGCACAGGGGAGGAAGCGGAAATTGCGTAGAAGCAAATTTGAAGCCGCGGGTTCTTTTTTTTTTTTTTTTTTTTCGTTCAGAAGGCGCTTCGATGACTCCGACTCGAGTCGCTCCGTTCGGGGGCAAGGGAGGTGCTACTGAACGCGCCCACTGCCATGCTACATTAGAAGCACAGATCTCGCTGTGACTCGCATTCGAATCTGTTTCCGCCTGCGTCAGCGACTTCTGGTCGGTACGTCTTTGCAAGCCTGTCGAGTTTACATATGTCACCAGTGCTAGAAAGAATAAGCGCTACACGAACAACAAAGTTGGAAATTTAACGAGGAACTTCGGCTGTGCAATTTAACGTCTTGGAGGAGAAAAGTTGGTTTACAAGGATATTTGAAAAGTTTTAAGAGATCTCGCGCTTCTTCGTTCTTTTGGCGTTCACTTGGAGAATCGGTGGTTAGAGGTTTCATCGACAATTTAAACAGTGGTATTATAGTCTTGTCAGACGGGAAGTTTTGTTCTAGGCATGACACCACTGTAGTAAATAAAATTTTCTAACCAGTAAATGTCATTTTGATCGAATGTCATTCGCCGTTCGGCGAATCAGCTCGTGATACTGGTTCTGCACGTGGCGGGTGCACGCGGAGCGTGTCGTATTAGACACGCGGATTGGCCGAGCTGTAATGTCATTTTGGTTGAATGTCATCGTGCCCGTCTGACATGGATATTAAGGTGGGCTTTGCTCTTTCTTTTTAAAAACCGGAAGTTCTCTGGGACGTCTAAGACTCCAGCACCACCTGGTGGCGTTTGCTATGAAAGGGGTCTATAGACGCGTTAAACACGCGCCAGATTGAGCCGCCATTGTCGACCTCCTCTCGAGATACCGAGCCATTGAAGCGGGCTTTGACGAGCCTCCACAGAAATAAAAACTGAAGGTCGGTTATGACGGCGAATAATGCACAGCTGCCGGAGTGACCCCGGCTATTAACGGCGAGATGTTTTGGTGGCGCCATCCCATCGTTCCACCTCGTGACGTCATTACCTTGCGAATAACAAGTTCGATGGCGCTTGTAATGAGCATGGTGGAAGCTTGAGATCAGAGCGCTCGGAAACCGACACTGCCAACACCGTCAAAATTCAAGTTCTTACATTTTTGTTTATTTCGTCTATGAGAAATCCTTTGCTGACGTCATAGTTTGCATTCGGACAGTCCTGGAAGGCCGACCACAGCGACGCTTTTGATCGCACATGCACACAGCAAACAGGGCGTTCGTGCTATCTGAAGTTGATAATGCTCTCAATTCGCACTAAGTATAACGTTCCGCTATGTGCTGAACTATGAACCAAAAAATCAATTGTGATTTTGAGAACACTTTTTTTACAACTCGGTACGCTCAAGCTCTGGCTCGCTAGTGTCTTGGAATCGCTGGCGTACTGTCGCGTACAATATTGGCTGAAACAGACCTTCGTGCTTCTTTGGCGTACCGGCCAGTTTTTGAGAGATTTGTAGTTCCATATGGAAATGCAATGCGAAGTTCTGGTCCCATACTTCAAATTATTTGACAAACTTTGAGATAGCAAAGCTTGCGGGGACCTCAGACGCAAAAAAACGCCCGATCGGGTGTTTCAGCTGATGTTATCCGCGAGGATACATACGTTCACTTCTATCGCAATGAAGCAATTACGCTGTACAAAAAAAAAAAAAAAAAAGTCGAAAAGGCTCGCAATTATTTTTTTTTACTGATTCCCCAAGCACCACAGGAGGTGCTTGGAATATGAATATAATAGTGCAGCAGACGGTTTCCTTCCCTAAATTC